TACACTCGCCAGAGAGACAGAAAGCAAGAAATCATCCCCCAGGGGGGATGGCCATACCGCAATCCCATCTCTTCCATTCTGTTCTCAGGATCTTGGACACACACACACGTCTGGTGTAAGTTTTAAGTCACCCGTTCCGGGACTGGAACCACAGGCGACTACATGGGAATCCAGTGATGTAACCATTTTACCCTCTGCTGGTCCCTTCTTTTCTTCTTTTTTTTTTTTTTTAAGAATTATTTTTTTGAGGCCAGCAGGTGGCATAGTGGTTACGTTGCTAGAGTCCCACATGGCAGAATGCAGTTCGAATCCCAGACTCAGTGGCTTGAAACTCACAGCAGGGGTGTGTGCATGTGTACCCAAGATCCTGGAAGGAGAATAAGAGATTGCAGCATGGCCATCCCCCTGGGGGGGTGATTTCTCACTTTCCCTCCCACTGTCTTTCTCTCCAGTGAGTATATGCATCCTAAGGCAAAAACCTCTTAAAAAAAAAAAATATATATATATATACACACACAAATATATATGTATACATATAATTAATTTTAATAAAATTTATATAAACGATTTTACTACAATGACCATTTTTTTAATTTGCTATAGTGCACATGCACTAGCAAGAGAGACAGTGAGAAAGCAAGCCATCATGTCCAGGACTCGAACCACAGTCAGCCATGTGGGAGTCCAGCACTTCAACCACTGTACTATCTGCTGGCCTGCAGCCTCTCCTTTAATCCTGAGTATTCCACTATGGCCATCTCATAAAGTTTCTTCTTGTCCGAGTCAGCTTAAGTTGGTTGCTATTGCTTACAACCAAAGAACACACAGGTCACAGGAGGATTCTGGACGGCCGGGGGAGCAGCTGTGGACAGGATCACTGAGGGTCGGAAGTGGGAAGAGGAAATCCTCTTCTGGAGGTGAGGTCATTCACAAAGCACGGACGGTGAGGTCAGAGCTGCCAGCTCTACTCTCTGCTACCCAAATGACCTTGAATAGCTCTCTCGACCTCGTTCCGCATCTAAGAGGAACAGGAGTGTCACATCGCTTTATGGAACTATTGTTAAAATCAAAAGCGATGACATATGTGTCTTGCATGGCACATAGTAGGTGCTTAACACATGTTAGCTTCCTGGCCCTCTCCCCAGCCTCATTCCCTCCTGAACTCTGCAAGAC